ATGTTTTTGTTGGGAATAAAACCAGTGTTGTATCTGAGGCAGTGCAGGAAACAGTTAAGCTTTCCTGCCTCAGAAGCAGCTGACTGAGCCAACAAGGAGCTGATGGCAATTTCTCCATTCCAGCACAGCTCTCAGGGCTGGCTTTTTGTACTGATGCCTGGTGTGAGAGGAAGGCAGCATTTTTTCTACTGAGCATCACCACAACCTGGAAAGGCAAAGCATCTTATTTTCATTCTGCACACAGGAAACTTGGGCTCACCAAGTTTAATCAACCCGCTGAGGGTGTCATAGCTGGTGTCCTGCTTTCTTTCCTGCTGCTGTGAGGTCACACCCTGACAAAAGCGACTTAAGGGAGAAAGGATTGATTCCAGCCACAGTTCCTTCCAGCTGAGGTCCCCTTACATCTGTGCTCGGCAGAGAGAATGTATGTGCGCTGCTCTCTGCCTGTTGTCCCCAGGCTTACACAGTTCAGGGTACCTCCTGCTTAGGGAATGGTACTACCCACAGTGGGAGGGAGGGTCTTCTGTCATTTAATGTATTCCCCCCACAGATGGGTCCAGATTCCCTGACAAATTGAAAATGGATACAATCACAGGTGGGAAGTGAATCCAAAATTTGGGAAAAATCCAAAATCAAACCAGAAAGAATGAGTCTGTTCCCCTCTAATCCCCACTATGTCTAAATGGGATACAGGGTAGATCTGTACAAATCTTTCCTAAGGATCTGGACCTCATTTCTCTGCTAACAGTTATGTTAATTTGGAGGCACTGTAAATCAACAGACTGTGGTTTCTCACCTTTAAAAATCTGAAGTGATCATGTATAAGTAATGTTTGCCTGTACCATCCTGTCCCTTCTGACATTCAGCTCTGAGTGACAGAAAGAGCCAGAGAAGCAGCTGGGTCCCTTGAGTCATGTGTTACTAGAGAGCTGTTTAATAAAAGGAGTTGAACTAGAGTTATTTCACACTCTGTCTGCATTTCCTAATTCACCTCTTCTAACTACAAGAGGCATGCCTAAGGCCTGCACTCAGAAGTCCTGTGTCCTTCCCTGTGACCAGAGACCACAGCGACAGCTGACTGAGCACAGCTTACAGGGCTGCAAGGTCATAGAGATGGGCAAACAGATCCCATGCTGATCCCTCTCCCTGCTCTCAGGGTCTGGAGTGCTGCAGAGCAGGGCACTGTCACATCCCAGGAAGCTGCCTCCTCCTTCAAAGGAACTTCTCCCACCTTCTGTGGTGTGGGGACCCTGACAGGCCTAAGAGCAGCACCAGCTCTCTGTGTCCACGGCACGCTTTCGCCGCTCACATTCTCGCTTCGGACACAAAGTCATTTTTTTTTTTTTGGTCTTTTTGAGATGGGGTCTCCCCATAGCCCCTGTCCGGAAACTCACTATGTAGACCAGGCTGGCCTCGAACTCAAAGAAAACTACCTGCCTCTGCCTCCCAAGTGCTGGGATTAAAGGCATGTGCCACTACGCCTAGCACAAAGTCATTTTTGTTTGAATCAGAATAAGGTACTAGTTTTTGTCCAGACATGAGGCTGTCAAAAATGTCCAAATGAGTTAAATATTCTTGGAAAATTCATTTATAAGACAAAGGTCTATTTTTTTTCTCCTAGAATTTGAGGCCAGATCCCTACATGCATATTTTATAAGACATGATTTTCCTTTCTGACTTGCTTGCTAAAAATTCCCTTTGATTCCCTCCCTTATCATTGCACAGTTTAGGATTACCCATGTGGCTTGTGTTTGAAAAGCTTCTACTGAGCTGTAATGTGTGTTAGTCAACAATCACTTGTTACATTTCAGGAAGTTGCAAACAGTAAAAAGCCAGCGATGGAAATAATGAAATGCATAAGTAAAACATCAAGTGCACAAAACAATCTGTGCAAAAACTCATTTAGTAGACTGAGATACAGTGAATGCAATATGTTTTGATCCTACTGAAGTAGATTACGAGTAGTGCCCTGTGAAATCTCATTAGCAAACAATAATTAACATTGACATGAAACTGAGCTAACTGAAGGCTAGTAAACCAGGGAGGCAATAAAAGCCAACTCCAATGGCAACCAGCTGCATTGGCCAGTAGAAATGAAGGCTGTCAGTGTTAGCAGACTGGAGAAGGTGGTGGATCCAGGGAACAGGAGGGCAGGAGAGGGCAGGGTGCATGAGTTAAGGAAAGGTGACCAAGAAGCCAATGAGAAGTTGGTTCTCTGCGCTTCATTTCTCTCTACGCTCCTTTGTCTCCTCTCTCGTCTCCCTCCTCTCCCTCTTTCTTCTCTTTTCTTTGCTCAGAGCAGGTAGAATGGAAACCATACTTCTATGGTTTCTTACCTTCAACTGTAGACTTCTATTCCAAGGCTCTCAGCCTTGCCCCAGGCCCAGGGAGGGGTTGCTAACACTTCCATAGCTAATCACCCACCTACACCTGAGGATTTCCTTTTTAGAGTTGGCATTAATTGAACAGTGGTTTTTCTCTTTGATCTGACAAATTTTTCTGAGCACCTGCTATGTGCTCAGCACTGCACAAGAATCTCAGTTTATAATTGTGGGGTTGACTCTGCCCCTCCCTGCAAGAGTGCCCTGTGCCTCAGTGTAGGAAGAATAGGGGATATGGTCAACCCTCCACTTGGCAAGTTTCACGTTCACAGACTCAAGCAGCATCAAATACAAATATTTTGAAAGTTTGTGTCAATGCTAAGCATGTACATTTTTTTTCATTATTGATTAAATAAACATAATATTTATTAACACAGTATGTATATTGTATTGTATATGAAGCAGTGAAAATTGCATAGAGATGACTTAATGTATATGACAAGATGTGTATAGATCATACGAAAATGTTGCACCATTTCATAAGGGGACTGTAGTGTTCTAGAACCAATCTCTTTCATTGCATGAGACACTGTATTAATAATTTCATTTTACAGTGGATATCTGCTAAGAAGTTAGATCTTACATTTATTTTACTACTAAAGAAAGAATGAGAAAGGAAGGAAGAAGAGCAGATATTATGAGGGGCAGTGGATATGTTCATTAGCCTGACGTGATCACTTCACATACCTGTGAGGGGCAGTGGATATGTTCATTAGCCTGACGCGATCACTTCACATACCTGTGAGGGGCAGTGGATATGTTCATTAGCCTGATGTGATCATTTCACAATGAATGCATCTAAAAAAACGTCAATTTGCACACATGATACACACACCACACCTGTCGTTTATCCCTCCACAGAGCTAAAAAACAAAATCATTTAGCTTTTGACATGTAACGAATAAGATCCAGGGACAGTTCTCCTTCATGTCTTTCTTCTGTCTCCCAATTTGTTGCTATTACACAAGACTGAAAGGCAGAGGAGTCAGAAGTGCCACCTGATGAAACAGAGACCTGCTTTCTGCTTAGTCACACTTACCCAAAGAGCTCTATAGCTGATCTCATCATTCCAACCTTTCCTAATCTGTGATTATTTTGCATGAATCTTAGTGCTAGAAACCCTTCTTTACGTAAGGTATCTACTGACAAACATTTTTGGCAAGCAAATAGTAACTTTGAAAGGAAGTTCGGACTTAAGGTTTTGGCTCTGCAGGATAAAGTCTCAGAACTGATGAAAAAGAGAAATTCTCTGGTCATTAGTTTGAAGGCAAATTATAGAAAAGTTTATTCAAGATCATGAAAACAGGGGCTGGAGAGATGGCTCAGTAGTTAAGACCACTTATTGCTCTTCCAGAGGACCTGGTTCAGTTCCCAGCACTCACATGGAGGGTAACACCCATCCTCAACTCCAGGTTCAGGGGATCCCATGCCTACTTCTAGCCTCCACAGGAACAAAGCACATGGTATATTTTCATACGTGCAGACAAAACACTGATATACATAACATAAAATAAAATCCTTAAAAAAGACCACAAAAGTCCCCATCTATTAGAGACCACACTGACTTGGGTCCCCAAGTGGCTCGACGGGCTGGAATCCCCTGTTATAAGCCTCTACTTTTGACCATTTTCCTGGTAGGGTAGCTGGAGCCAGGCCTCTGATCCAGGCGATGGGCATATAGAGCAGCCCCGGTTTCCACATGGTTCGCTGTTGTGTCTTTTGGACTCTACACCATGATGGTAACTTCAGTGACTGCTGGTTACTGGACCACACCTATTTATAAATCTTGATAAAGCTCATTATCTCATTTCTTTGGGGACACAATTTTTAAACTGCCAAGATTTCTGTAGAGATAGCAAACAACAGAGTCTTGACTGACAGTCCCCAATTCTCCTAGGCCAAGCTTTCCAAACTCTGCACGGGCCCCAGAGAGAGGTTGCAGGCCCTCTCTGGCATGGCCCACTGGGGAGGGGCTTCTCAGATGTTCTCTAGGTGGCCCCTCCCCACTGCTCCTCATTGACATAATGCAAGGAGAAGTCTTAGTACTTTGCAGGATGTGCCAAGAATGGGCGTCTTCTGCTGGTGGCAGGTGGAGTGGCCCATCTGCCTACCTGTTCTCTTGGCCCTGTGTACTGCCTATCCTCTGGAAGCTGTTTTGAGCAAGTTCCCAGGGGTAGGCTTGATTCCCCTCCTCCTTAGGGGCAGAGAGATGGAGACAGGATCTTCAGTGGAGGAGAAATAGGCCATTTCCTGATGGACAGACTAGTCTTGGGTCATGCCGCTATCCACCCCGTGTGTTCCTATCATTCAAACAGTGATATCACATGACTTCCTTATATTTTTGGTAAAGAGTTTCTTACATGTTTTTCATCAAAGCCACTATCAGACATGGCTGCTATTACTGCAGGGCCATGATGGGTGGGGACTGTCTCATCAAAAGGAACCAGGAAATGCTCCTTGTCTTCTTTCAGACAAGAGTGCCTCATGCTGTCATTTATTTGTTTGCCTAAGCTTGGGAAGGAGGATAACAGGGAGTGGACCAGACTGTGGAGGTTTTGTGAAACATGATTCAAGATATCACACATGCCTTGTAGAACTTGCTCCCAAAGCTCCTGTAAGATGGGCGCTGCAAATGGTAATGTTTCTGTGACCATGGAACATGGCACTCTTCTCCTGTCCTATGTTCATCTTGGCTCTTTTGTAGTGGAGGCCTACGAAGCACTTGTGGCCTCCAAACTTGTGAGCTCTACAGTGCCTATCTATTGCAGGAGGCGTCCAAAGATGGTGCAGACCCAGAGCCCTGGGATTCAGAGAGAATTCACTTCACTTCTTGGTCCACAAATAGCCCACCAAAAGGAGCCCATGCCTCCGTACCCTGCTCCAAGCCCAGTAACTGCTGACAGAATGCATGGCGTGGACCAATCAGAAAACGATACGCTGACTAAAGGGACTTGGGGGCAGAGAAAAGGGAGATATAAGGCGTGCCCCCTCCTGCATTAAACGAGCCTGCAGCACCTTGCCTAGTGCTTGCTTCTACCCGACTCCCTGGGTCTGTGTTTTGTGACTCCACGCCTCTTACCCCCCCAATCAGCAGGGGACCCTATCCAGGTTAGGGTCTTCACAGCTGGCCTGAGGAGAACCCGCAACACCTGGCGCCCGAACAGGGACTCCTGCCCATGGTGTTGGCGACACCTAGAACCTCAGTTTGTTCGGTCCGTAGGCCCCTGGTTTTGTCTGTTTCTTCGGCTGCTCGAGGGTAAGCGAGTAGCCCCCTCCTCTGTCCCCTCCACCCTGTCTGTCATCTTTATTGTTGGACTAGTTTGTTAGATCAGGGAGGCACACTCTGCCACATGGTCCCGAAGGCCACATCAGCACCTCCCCCTTCTCGGCTTGTCCTGGTGAGTTCACATAAGGGCTGATCCACCCTGAACTCAGAGCCCAGGCTTCGGGTCACCCTGTTGCCTGTCCTGGAGACACCGTGTGAGCATACAGCTGGAGGTGTCATGGCCTCCAGAAGTCCCTCACTGAACACAAGAAATTTGGATTCGATACACCTCTACATGTTGGAGTGGTTTACATCCTAGTGGCTCACAGCGCTTCTTTGCTTCCTTTGTTGCCTCTTGGTAGTCACCCTCATCTTCTACTTTTGTGGCAAATTCCCCTTCACGAGACCCTCCCTCAATGGGCAATTTACCACCACAATGCAGGGAACCACAAACAGCAACACTCAAGGTGCTCCTTAAAACCAGAGGGTTGAAAGTGAACCCAAAAGATATCTAACCCAGCGGGTGAGAGGCCGGTGGTGGGGCCGGTGGGCGTAGTGCCCTGCCTGGAGCTGCCAAGCTATGCCGTGGCCTGCGCGCTGGTCAGTGGCCTCTATTCCTGCCTGGTGGCCGTGCTGCACTGCAGGCACATAGCGCTGTCGCCCCGCTACCTGAGCCGGAAGCACTCGGGCATCCGTGAGCAGCTGGACGCCGAGCTCCTGCGCTACTCCGAGAGCCTTTTAGGTGTCCCTATTGCATATGATAACATCAGAGTTGTGGGTGAACTAGGAGATATTTATGATGATCAAGGACACATTCATCTTAACATTGAAGCAGATTTTGTTGTTTTCTGCCCTGAACCAGGGCAAAAGTTAGTGGGCACAGTTAATAAAGTGTCTTCTAGTCACATTGGCTGCTTAGTACATGGGTGTTTTAATGCCTCCATCCCTAAGCCTGAGCACATGTCATTTGAGCAGTGGCAAACCTTGGAGATAAATGTGGGTGATAAACTGGAATTTGATGTATTTCGCTTAGATTCAGATTCTGCTGGAGTATTCTGCATTCGAGGAAAACTAAATACTGAGAGTTTACAGTTCAAGGGCTCTGTAGTTTCTAAAGACATAGCAGAAACTGGTATTGAAGAAGTTGCTGAAAAATTTCAAAGAAAAAAAAGAAAGACTCAGAAACATATGAAGCAGTTGATGGTGCCTCAGTGCTGGCACATTGTGCAGAAGTTGCTGCAGAGGAAGAGGCCGGCCTACGGAGTGTTGATCCTGTGAACAGCGTGTGCGAGGAAGAGCCGAAGAAGAGGAAGAAAAAGAAGAAAAGCACCAGGAAGAGCAGGACCGTTTTCCAAGCCAGTGACTCTAGTGGCTACCAAAGTGACCATAAAAAGAAAAAAAAGAAAAGAAAACACAGTGAACAGGCTGACCTGACCTCGGTTCCTGAGTCACCTAAGAAGAGAAAGTAATCGTCTTTGTCAGTGTTAAACTGTTTACACACAGTGAATAAATAGATGTTTTGATTGTACAAGAGGACATTTATGTGTACCAGAAGTTCACCAAGCAGGAATGCTTATTATCAATTGGAATGGTTTGTACCAAAATCACAAAACTCACTGAATGAATTTGGGTTATACCAATATTATTAAAGTGTCATTTTAATACATACGATATAAAATGGTAACAACTGCTCTCACTCTTGACTTACATTCTTACAGATGCTGCACTCTAACGTGCAATTTTTACACTCTCAATATTTGTTATTTACATCATTATAAGAAACTAAATTTGGGGGTTTTGCTTTCTCTTTTTCTAGTAATAGATGTTTGGTTTTACTTTTTTGTTGCTGTTTATTTTTTTCATTTTTTTATGTAATTCTTATAAATTTGATGCAGTATATTTTGATTAAATTTAGATCTCATCAGCCATCTGCACTCCTACTACCCCCACCAAGTTTCAGGTACTGTTTTATACATATAGGCCTTAATAAATTATATATAGAGATGTACGTATATGTATATTATATGTACATATATAATTTATTAAGGCCTATGTAATCAAACTTGTGTCCGCCAAGTGCTCCTCAATGTGGGTCTGTCCATTGGAACCTGGTCGACATAGCAAGAGTTTCACCCTTAAATGAGACTAATTCTCCTCCAAGTAGCCATGGGTTACCAGTAGTTTCTCAGATAGGGTAGGGTTTATTACCCACTTCCCTATATCCATGCTTGGATTTTGTCTCTCTTGAACCTCCATGGGACTTGTGCATGCTGTCACTATTGCTTTAAGTTCATATGAGTAACTGACCAGCTTTCTGGAAAACTCTGTTTCCTTGTCGTCATTCCCCACCTGTGTTTCTTGCAATCTTTCTGCTCTCTCTTCCACAATGATCCCTGAATCTTAGGAGGCAGAAGGTTGGTATAGGAGTCCTATTCTGGAATAAGCACTCCGTAATTTGTTATTCTCTGTACATTGACCAGTGGTTAATGGCCAATGTGTTAATCACCATCTGCTATATAAGGATCTTCTTTTTGGAGAATTGAGAGATGTGTTCATCTATGGGTATAACAATAAGTCATTATAAGTCAGTCTAATAATATATCTGTTTAGCAGAATAATAGTATTAGCCTCTCCCCGTGCCTGCTATCAGTGTCAGGTATGGGTTCCGTCTCATGAAGCAGACCTTAAATCTAATTAAAAAGTGATTGGATACTCCCATAATATTTTTGCCACTATCACACCACTGGGCATATATTGCCAGGTCAGTTGTTGTAGCTCACAGGATTTGCAGCCGGGTAAGGTTGATGGTTGTGCTGAGTAGCTTCAGCTGTGAACTTGACACACCTGAGTAGAGGGAACCTCAACTGGGAAATTTCCTCCATTGGATTGGCCTATGGCCATGTCTGTGGGGCATTTTCTTGATTATTGATTATTGAGTGATGTGTGGTGTCACCCCTAGGCAGGTGGTCCTTGGTTGTATAAGAAAGCAGGCTGAGACAGTCCAGAAGGGAAAGCCAGTAAGCAGTGTTCCTCTATGGTTTGTGCTCCAGCCCCTGCCTCTAGGTTCCTGCCCTGAGTTCCTGCCGTGACTTTTCTTAGTGATGAATTATGACCTGGGAGATGTAAGATAAAATAAACGCTTTGCTTCCGATGTCATTTTTTGTCAGTGTTTTATCACAGAAAGTAACTAGGACAGCTTTATTTTTTCTTCTGGGACCATGCACCTTCCAGCACCATGAAAGCTAGCTGGTGGGGATGCGGCTCTGAAGTCAGCAGCAGCTTGTTTTCTCTTTGCATGCAGTGCCTTCAGCAATAGGATCTGACAGTCAAATTCTGGTGGGAAACCCAGAGCAGGAGCAAAAGTCAGCATTGCTTGAGGGTCTATGGGACCCCTGGTCAACATCTTCATCCCTGGCATTTGCTAGCCTATGCCTTTTAGTAGGGGCAGTGTCCCCTTGTTATAAGGTAACTTCTTTTCATCTCTTTTTGTAAGGTATGTGTATATGCTTTAAGAAGTTTCCATAGTGGTCAATTTCCACATTGAAAATTTTTTTCTAAAGGCCTTTGGTGTGTTGGTTATCCCT